TCGACTCTTGGATGGTTTGTTTTCAGCCACAGTTTTTTTGTTGTTGATTATTTCTGTCCAGCTGGCCATTCGATCTTCAGTATAGAGCCAGCGAAGAGGGAAGCTGTTGATAGGAGTCTGCAGCAGGCTGTTGGAAATGCTTTTCGCGACATACAGTGAAGGTTTCAGACCCGCAGAGAAGCACTGACTACTAACTGATTGGATGACTGATTTCACAATTGAGTTGAAAATCCGAATCTTGTTGTTTATGCTGAGGTGGAGTGCAGTGCAGATTTACAAACTGGTTTCAGGTTGATGAAGGCGTGCCTATCTCGCCTTTCCGGTTCTGGCCAGCTTTGACATCTTCATCCGTTCCTACTGCCTGTAGTTGTAAAGATGCTTCCAAGTTAAATGAAGACAGGAAGTCAACTCTGTTAAATCTCTCCCGTTGATGGTGACCTGTGCTGGTTGTTGTTGTTGTTGGTGGTGCTGTGGTTGGCTGGATATCTCCATCACCACTGTCTTCTTACTGTTCACCTGGAGTCATGTGCTCGCTGACTGCCACTTCCGCCAGTTTGTTGGTTTCCGCCTGCCTCTAAGTCTTCGAGTTCGCGTGAAATTAGATATGAACCAATATTTGAGCAATACACACCGTAGTGTTGAAGCAGTTTCCAAATTGCTTCTCGGTCAACCCCGTCTGATGAAGGCCTTTTCGAAGTCGATGAAGTTGAAGTAGGGGCATTTGACTGACATTCCATGCTTTGTTCTGTGATGATGATGACGATGCGTAGAGTAGAAATTTGATCAGCACACGATTTCTCTTTCCTGAATCCAGCTTGTTCAGACGGGCTAGTATCCAGTGCATCTTTGATTCTCTCTCTCTCTCTCTCTCTTTCCAGGATGACGTGACTTAGTATTTTACTCGGCGTGGACAACAGCATTATTCCACGCCAGTTCATTCACAGGACTGAGTCGTCCTTCTTTGATGGTTTCACGTGGTAGCCTTTCTTCCAATCATTATAGATAAGATTTTTATTTTGATAAATCGCACAGTGTTTACAGTTATATGAACTGATGACGTTTCGAGCACATTTATTGCTCATAATCATATCAAGGTAATCACACGATTCCTAAATTTTTATATGTTCCATTGTTTTTCTTGATTTTCACTTGATTTGATTGGTAATAGTATTTCCATATTTCAGGTATGAGTGACGAGTCATTCCTATTGCATGTGTTGGGTGTAGACTCGATGAACAAGGATTCAGTCAGTACCTTCCCTTCCTTCAAAGCTTTTTTCAATTACGAGGTGATGACGTCTGCCACAGTCTCTGGTTTCGTTCTCATTACTTGTCAGGGTATTCCGTCTGGCCCTGCTGCTTTCCCGGACTTCGGTAGCTTGATCACATTCAGGATTTCTGCTTTCGGTGGAGTATTGGTGTCCACTGACGGACAGTTCTGTGCGTGTTGTTGTTGTTGTTGGTGGTGGTGGTGTATTTCTGGGTGAAAAGCAGGTGATGGTCCGTTCAAGAGTCCTTTGAAGTGACCAACACATTGTTATATTTATTCCCCCCCCCTTGGTAATCAGGTTCCCTTGAACATCCTTCATTGGTTTCATCAACTGGCTTGATGTCTTCCCGGATAGCGAGAAGCCTAGTTATCTGATTTAATCTTCTCAGGTCTCTTTTATCTACAGCCTGTATGTTCTGCTTCAGTCGCCAGCCAGTGTGTCGCAGAATTGTCTTTTGTCTTTCCTAGCACTATTCTTCACTTCTTTGTTCGGTGTAGTGTACATGGAACTCAGCTTCTCCTTCTGTTGTCCATCTTTGCATTGAGTTATCTTCTCTGTCATCATCCTCCTCTCCACGGTTAGCTTTCAGATAGGTGTCCGTTGAGAGCCATTCATTGTCTTGTCTTGTCTTGTCTCTTCTTACTTCCCAGAACAGTTGTACTCGTTTCCTTGAACATCACATTCAGAGGATTCCAATGTTCTTCCACACAGGTTTCCTGAGTGATACCACGCAGTCTCTCCGATTTTCCTCTGATGTGATCTGTAGTGAAGTTATGCTTTGTAGTTTTCTCTTTCAGTTTGGGAATGTTGAACTTCAGTTGGGGCCTGTTTCCAGATGTTCTGAATGCTTTCACCTAGACCTTGAAGTTTCCTGAACTAGATTATGATGGTCTGAGCCCACATCTGTTCCCCTTCTCGACTTTGTATCCAGCAGACTGGCTGCGTCCTCACTTCCTTGAGCAGTAGCATTCAGATGGAGTCTGTCTGGTTTGTGGAGTGTCTGTCAGGCGAGATCCATGTTGCTGTGTGTATATCTTTGTGCTTGTACACACTGCCTGCTATAACCATCATATCACTGAATGCACAGAAGTCTGAGAATAATTCTCCCTTCTCATACATTTCTCCGAGCGAGAGCCTCTCGACCCACGGTGAATTCTATTCCTGTATTTTCTGCTCCCAGTTCGACTGTCATTCATATCGTCCATAATGATCTTGATGTCGCCACTCGGGATGTTGTGAATTACTGTTTGTAGTTGTCTGTAGAAATCTTCCTTCTTCTCTTGTTCCGTGTTGTTTTTATCACTGTGCTTACCAGAGCATGATAATTGTGACCTACCTTCCTTCCTTGCCTCATTTTGAGTTGAATCTTCCTGTTATGATCCTTCATGAGTAGATTGTTTCTGAATGAATTAGGGCTTTGTCTGGCACTATTGACGTGATCCTAGACTTTCGGTTTGTCTGTGCTTTAGTGGTTCTGTTTTGATTGACTAATTATAGGTAGAAGTTTGAGTTTCCGCTACATATTTTTTTTATATTTTACATTTATTCCATTATTTATTTTAGTCAAGCAGTATTTCTATTCGGTATCTTCTTATATGTTTGTTTTTCTCGGATGCCTTCGCAGTCCTATAAATTCTGCGGACATTCGATTTCCCGACTTTTGTTCTTTTTTCTTGGAGAGGAGACGTATCGGCTGGCTGATTGGCCTCCTTAGCCCTTTCACCAACCCGCATCATTTCGACTGTTCAATTTCAGCGAAGTATAATTTTTCGTATATTTAATATAAAAATTGTGCGTTGAAGTTTCTGTAGCAGTTCGATTTGTTTTGTGGTGTAGGTTTGTTAGTTCCAGCCAGACCCAATCCTCCGCCCCCATCGGGGGCTTTAGACGAGCTGGGAAATTTACACACTGGTACGGTATTCGAGGTTTCTATTTGCGCTATTTGTGACTTATTTAACATATTATGTATCATGAGGGGTGCTCCGTATTACTTTTAGTCCTCGGGAAAATTCGCTATAGGTGCTATATCTGATTTCGTTAAATGGGTTAGCTATTGGAGTTATGTTTTAGTACTCAGTAAATTTACCGAAATACACCCTATGGGTTTTGAACAGAATGAGTGAAAATAATATAATTGTAGACTAGAATTTTGTTAGCGGGGTGAATCTGCTTCGAATTAAGGAGAGAAAGCTAGTTAGTCTCTCTCTCTATATATATATATATTGGATTAGAGCCAAATATGAAGATCTAATTGAAAAGTAAATGTTTCTTCGCTCAATCCTTTTGCCTTCTAAATGTCTAAATGTGGATTTTTTCGAAAATGAATTATCGTCTTCTCAGATGATGATTTAGAGTGCTCAAATCAAATATTTTTGTTTGAGGATGTGGTTTAAAGAATGTATCATCCTCTGAACACTGGTATCTCGGGAACTTAAGGGGAAGATGTATGACCACCCAAGTTATCACCTTATCGTTGGTTGATCTGAACTATTTTCAGACGAGGTGATAGCATGCAAAGCGACTGAGCTTATTGATGACATCACGAATTTATCTGTCCCATTGACTTACAAAAGTATAGGACCGGTAACATCTCGATTTACACATAAAAGCTTTATTTTCTTTCTCTGTCACTGCACACCTGGATTCTTACACAGGTCCGGCGTCTGACCAAGCTATCACGTACTTGTAATGGAAGCATTATTTTAACTTTTCAGAGAGTAGGGGTAGAAATTTTAGAGTAGAAAGTAGTTTGGTGAGCCTGTAAACCGCCATCGGCTGAAGTGACTGAAGGCCAACTTCTCACCTTTTCGTTTAATGGATGATGTTTTAGAAGTAATATAAAATTTGGAGACAAGCTAAGGGTGACCAGATCAACGTATATGGTAATTAACTGCTGCGTAATTGAGTGGGTCTAGAAGAGCAGTCTTCATGTAACATCTCACATTCATTAAGACTTATCATATGGATACACAAGCACTGATGCTAGTATTTCCAGGAACTGTCTGACTATTTACTCCTTCTTTTGAATTTCACCATTGTCTAGTGGGCTTCTAAGCAGCGAAAGTCGCATGATGTTCACTGAGGATTTTTCACTATTTTAAATTTTGCTATTTTAATTCTCTAAAAGAGTCTATGTAAACTGTTTGTATGGAAGGCTTCGTACTACTTATGGTTACATATTAGGTAGATACTTCGTCGTGAAATCGATGATTCTATAATCTTTATTAGTGGATAATTTCATGAGTATATCACTTTCACTTTAATTGTGATTCTCAGTTTATTAAATCACTTCTGGTTTTCTTCAGCAGTTTGACTTTTGGTCGTATACATGATATTTAGCAACTTGGATCGCTTCTAAGTAGTGCTTGTATGTCAATATTGTGCTCAGTGAAATGTCTTCACTTAGTTTACACAAAGATTCATTGGATTACTTTCTGAAATGGAAGGAAATTAAGAACCTAGTAGACTTTGATAAAAACTGAATAAGGCTAAGTACTAGGAAGATAATGTCACGTCGTGGTTCGACTTCATTGTGATGAGTTGTAACGATATTGTTATTGTTGAAATCTAACTTTCCTATTACCAATTCACATTTTTTAATGATTTCATATTTAGTAGGCCACAATGGCTTATGAATAATTTTTTAAGCATCTGCAATGAATCAAATTATAAAAACTCTTGAAGTTAACTGAAAAGCTTTTGTGGACAGTTTATATTTGTATCATCTTACCTTCATCCATTGTTGGATAGCCAATAAACTGTTGAGAGTTCGTTTGCCAATTTATCTGGATCTGTTGTTGATTTTGTTGGCTTATGAGAGGAACCATTTCACAATACTCAAATGACTGTGGATTCATAGAGGTGAAATATGTTGGTTGCATATTATTAAGTGCGTTGTAATAATAATGTAATTGGTTAGAATTTTGTGATGGTACGTTAGGAACAACAAAATGTACACTTTTCGTGCTGCTATTATTATTATTGTTACTATTATTGCTGTAATTTTGGTCGCTTGATTGAAGAGAGGTTCTGCTAAGTGACTGGGAAATTGTTGGTCGTCTTTCTAAGTAGATGGAAGATCTATTCACATCTAAGTTACTAATGTGAGCTTTTTCATTCCTATGGGATACTGGATATGATTCAGCCAGAGTACTTAAAGTGCCGTCAGTTGCACTACGACCTATCATATATTTTTCTGTTGTTTTGTTTAACTGGGATTCTTTACTTTCCTCTGTGTTGTTCTCTGCATGAATTAAACTAGTTTTAATCTGTTCTTCAGAAAAGTATTGAATTCCAGTTACTTTCGTAGACGAAGAAGACGACCAATAGTTTATTGATTTGTTGGAACCTTGTATTGTTCTTAACTTTCTACGATAACAGCACTGATAACATGAGCATCCCAGAACGACAATGATAAATGAACACAGAACAATACAACCAATTATTAGCGTACTTGAAGCTGTTGGATTATTTGAAATAAAACGGGATAAATTAGTTTTGTTACCTGAAAGATTAATGAAAGTAACAAAATGAAATCGTCTACTATAAACTTATTAAGTAGTGTAAAATTAAAATATAAAAAGGCATTGAATTGAATTTTTGATTTTCCCGTCGATTGATTGGACCGAAGTGCTCGATCTCAGGTTGACATGTCGGCTTCTTGTGCAGATGCCTTGACGATGTCTGGGCAATTGTATACTAATTAAATGCCCAGACATCGTCGAGGCTTCTGCACAAGAAGCCGATATGTCAACCTGAGACCGAGCACTTCGGTCAAATCAATCGACGGGAAAATCAAAAATTCAATTCAATAATTAATATGACCCGTTGCACAAGAGGTGGCTCTCGTGGCCCAAGTGGTCTAGTGGATAACGCTTTGGCGTTTGAAACTATGGGCACTGGGTTCGAGCCTCGTGGCGTGTTTCACTGGTAAAAACTGTCCGAATGTCCATCGGTTGAAATAATACTGACTGACTGGATCCAACAGAGTTCGAGTTGCCACTCCCCATGTAGCACAAGGAGAAAGAGAAGAGAGTAAAGAGAGTTTCAAGAAAGATTGAATATAGAATAATCCTAAGACTGTCAATATTTTATTTTGATTGCAGCTTGATTCCACACCGTATTTTTGGTACAAGTATGAAATTTTCAGCATGTGATATCAGTAGCCCAAATTTAGCAGGCCGACCACTGATATCGGGTGTGCGTCAGCCGGGGATCGAATCCCGGACCATATGCATAGTCGGCGAACGTCCTAACCGCTGTGCCACCGACACACAAGTTTTAGCAATTGAGTATTTTTCAGTCCAAATTATGGTTGCCATTCATTCTGAATACTTATCAACTGGGTGCCTTTCGAGAGATTGATTCCATGAAACGTCTAATATCAGTGTTATACCACGGTGCTAAGCAGTGACTTAACCATTCGATTATCATACCTGAGATGATACAGCAACGTGGTTTCTATCTGCTTGTCGATTCGAAGACTCTCTTGTCCTGTACATAAAATAATTTTTATCATTGACTGAAAAATAATACCTTACTTACATATTATTTATTACAGTCTAAAAGCGATTATTTCAATCATATTATTTCCGTAATACAGTGGAATAGGATACAAATTATTGTGGTTTAAAATTAATTTAGTTAAAGCAGTCTTGGAGATTTACGTTTATTATCAAGCTAAAAACTTGCATTTTAGACCACACTGGTAGTATAAGTGTGAGGCTAATTGGTGTCTATTAATTTTGCTGGCTTTTTTCTGTATTGGTACGCATCTTTTATCTATTTATTTTTGAAAAAATTAGACTCAAATGAGCAGTTTCCAATGTAAACTACATTATTATTTTTACTTGTATAACTGGCGATCTAATCGTCATTAAGAAAATGAGGACAAGAATCCGCAAATGCTTATGTAACTAGTATGTAAAAAAGCAATCCCAAGTGATACACACAAAAATACCTCGTACTAGAAGTAGCTGTTCGTGTAATCGGAATCATCTGGGGAACAAACAAGCAAAGAGACAGGAAACATGAGATGATTAACCTTTCATTGTCTCATAAGCATTCTACAACTCTTGTTATCTATATGAATCAACGTAAAGCATTTATGCTTTATTGTTTGCACATATTATTCATTTGAATGTTAACTCAGTATTTGTGATTTTGTGGTTTTCACATAGAAAGTCAAGGTCCAAGAGTCTAGGTAGGTAAGTAATATGACGGTACATTGATTTAAATGAAATTGGATCGATATGAAGCCATATATCTACTTGTCAGAAGTTAAGGGTAATAGAAGCAGTGTATGGATGAGGACGTCCTCCTCTTGAACTACATTCGCTATGGTACTCTGAGTACACACTGCTGAAAACCTTCAAAGTAGGGTGAAACAGTTGTTCAGTGTTTCTTTTCTTTTGATTGCTTTCGTAAGCCGGTTTTAGTCCTGATGAAATCATCCCTTTTACTAATATTTTATTTTTTAAACATGATAATTCGGCAAAAGGAATGGTAAGTAAAATGCTTTTCAAACCTGATTATTGTTCTTCCTCCCGGGTGGAACATAGAGAATCAGCGGTTTATTTCCGTTCCACTAAACACTGCTATCACTTTCAATATGCTCCATCAACTCTTCACATGATCGTCTCCATGTCACTGTCAGATGCCAATCTAGTCGCTCTCAGTCGGATATTATTGAAGAGTCACATTGAGTGTCTCTTCAGCATTTATCCAACCCATCTACATTTTCTAATGCATATATGTTGAGTAATAGGTTTTTGGCTGCTTTGCTACTTATCTTTTCGGGCCTGCCATCCGCCAGCTGTGAATAAAAGTATGCAGTCTGTTGGTGACCCTTACTCCAATATTTTCAACCATATAAAAGCACTAGGTCGACACCAATATTAAAAGTTCGAATCTTGTCCGTTAAACTAAATGCTATAGAACTCCACACTGATTCCAGAGTAATGGATATTTGTCTTGTTTCCCCAATCTGATCTTTGCTGTCTTTGACATCCTCATCTGTGTCGCCTGTAGTTGGAATGATACTTCCCAGGTATATAAGTGAAAGATACGACTTCCTCTGCATTTCTGCCATTGATAGTGATTATTGCCGGTAATTGGTTATTTTCATCACCTCTGTTTCTGTATTTTCACAAGTGTTATCTTGGCTGGCAATACGTTAGTTTATTTTTGTAAATCTTTGAGTTTTTGCGGCATGAGACATTAGTTATCTGTGAATTCCACACCTTCTAGAGATCTTTTATCAATCTAACGTAGTATGTTAGTCTTCTCACAAACATGATTAGTACTTAGGTGATGTAAATAAATCTGTTTGTTACTGGGCACAAATCCACGGTTCTGTATTTCTAATCCTATTACTGTGGTGATTTTATGTCAACTTCATTCAACATTTTTCAATAGTTGGTTTGTGAGGATTAGATTTGTTTTTACGAGTTTGACCAAGGAATGATACCAGTTAGAGAAACATTGGAAACCAGGGAGTACTGGACAGTTGTTACATCCTAGTTTGGGAATCATCGGCAGTATGCACCACTGGAGTTCGAACCTAGGACCTTCCAGTTACAAGGCAATCTTGTATACCATTCAGCCTATAGGACCCGATTCATTAGCCAACCCATGAATTCTAACTTCGAACAATTCGTGATTTAGCGCGACCACCAACCAATGTCATCGGTGGGACATCCATCCTCACGCTTGACTGGATGGACCTCACTGGTCACTAATTTTCACTTGAACTCCAGGGAATTCCGTCCTGTGGAAAGTCACTAGCGAGCATCAGATTAATTTTCACTAGTTGGTTTGTGGGGATAGAATTCATGGGCTGGCCAGTGAATCGAGTCCCGGTGACCTAATGGTATACGAGCTCTCTGGTCTTGTACCTGGAAGGTCCTGGGTTTGAACCCCCTGCAGGGTGGATGCGTACTGTTGATGATTCCTGAACTAGAATAATGAAACAGCTGTCTGGCAGTACTCCTTGGTTTTCAATGTTTCTCTCACTGATATCAATCCGTGATCAACTCATTCAACATTCTTAAATTTGAACATAATTCCAAATATACACATTTACAAACTATTTTTATAAAACAATAAGTCTATTCAAAATAGGGCAGACCATCTATAACAGTTGTTACAATGTGGGATAGTTCAAAACAAAAGACTAAACACCAAACTGACCTTTTACTAAAATCAATTTATTTTATTTAAAAGACAAAAGATGACTACCCAAATTGGCAGGTAACTTCTTCTATGTTGTTTACATTTCCTATTGTTGAGATAGAAATACATGTATGCAAATGTAGAATGAATGTACATGACCTTAATATTATTTTTGGTTGAAAAATTAGTTATTTGTATGTCTTCTAACAGTAAATAATATTTGAATGAATACATTCACACAACAGACAGTCAAACTGACACTGTAATGTATGATGATGATGATGGTGGTGACAATGATAATTCAACAGCATGTGCTGTTTTCTTGATTTTTAAAATAACATTTTGTTTTTTCGAGAAGGCGGATAGGAGAAGTGAAAAATATTATTAAAAACCAAAATAATTTTGTGCATAAACTTGGATAGATTTCTCCCCCGCCCCCCGCCAACTAAATAAGGATGTACACTGGAGTGAAAGAGGCGAAGATGTGAATTGGCAACACAGTCATAATAAGCTAACTGTCACACACTATCCAATCAGAATGAAGTGTTAGTTAAGAAGGTCGAGTTTTGTTGATGTACACTGAAGTTATTCCAATGACTTTTGTCAAGGTGTGGGTGAGACAGTTATGGTAGTGTTTATAAAAACAAAAATTAATCAACAGACAGTATTGACTAAGAAAACTGGTCAGTTAAAACAATTAATGATAGTACAAATGATACGGCAAAATATATGGACTAAGGCATGACAACTTCTAACTTGAATAGATTTGACTTCTGATGTGTTGCTTTGTGATTGTAGAAAAGTGTATTGCAGGAATGCAAACTCGAAAAGACCACGGATGAGTAGTAGTTGTATTCAGGTTAATTTCCAATGTGAACAATTATTAGGCATAATAAAATTCTGTTGCATATTTAGTTTATAGGTGATCCTTGTCTGTCAAACTGCTGAAATGTTTTGAATATGATAGACTGGCTTGTAATGGTGTCAGTATGCTTTTACACAGTATCTCTAACACTTCCTCCTATCATTTAGATTATCAACTTATCTACAGCTTTGTCAACAATTTATTTAGAAAATATGGCAATAGAGACTATTGACGCCTTGAACAATTTAACTGAGAGTATGCCTTACAGAATTCAGCACGTAAATTTGTCTGAAGATAATTTATCACTAGTTAGATAATCAGAAAATGGAATGGTGTATAGAGAAAATATCAAGCTCAAGAGTACAAGTAAAGTGTGAGATGGTCTTATGTTTACTGTCGAAGGAAAGCATTAACACTCAATAGAACTCCTACACTAAGGTAATGTAAGTTAGTGCCAAGAAACCAAGTGATTTCTGAGTCTTGACATAATTCGCAATCAAAGGGAAATATAAGTGAACAATGGGAAAAGTCATAGCCTGTGTTACCATGATAATCAAAAACTGTTAACCTTTTCTTTTTAAAGCATAATCATCAAATATTTAACTTATGATGATTCCGTTCAGGAAAGTTTGTGAAGACATGAGCTATTTTATTGTTAAATTAATTTAAAAAATTTAAAAGAGTCAATTCCATATTAATATATGTGTAAAACTTGGGCACTGTGGTAGTAACTAATTCCATATTAGTTTATTAGATATATCACACAGTGAAACAGTATTGTATACTGGATGAATTTCGAACACAACCTATTTCGTTATAATCATTTCATCAATTATAATCAAACGACTTACAAACTTTAGTTTTATAGCTTTCTTTCTTCTCTCGTATTTGTCGTCATTGGGGTAGTAGAATTTCCCAGATATCTGGGACAGGTGTTGAATCACCCTATTACACGTCTTTGTAGTTGATTCGATAAACAACGCTTCTGTTGTCAATCTCTCCCTCCACCCTGTCAATTAGATTTTAAGCTGTCATCTTATCTGATTCATCCTATTGTGTGGTTGTATGTAACTGCATGTAGTGCTATCTACGCCTGAACTATTCTCTAGATTTCTTATCTTATTTGGGTCAAGCAATCTAGATTTTGCTAGGTTTTATGTTCCGCTAGTCTGACTGACCCTGTTCTACTACTTTGACGTATGTATTTGACCTGACAACCATTGGAGACAGGGTATTAGACAAACTAAATTGTTTTGTTTTAAGGCCTCCACAGGATCCTTTAACCGACAAAGCTTGTTTCTAATTGAGTCTGTGGTTGGTTTGAATGCCAGCCACTTTTATTCCTGCCTTGTTAAGAATTCTGCGTAAGGTTCCCGAGGTTCCTTCTTTGTATAGAGGTACTGCTGATGATACTGTTTCACTGTGTGATATATCTAATAAACAAATTAGTATGGAATTACATACTACCACAGTGCCCCAGTTTTACACATATATTAATTACCATCGGTCCTGTTTAACCTTTCAGTTTAGGAGTTTTCGCAGATACATGCAGAATATTTCACACAGGAAATGTTTCACAAAATCTGACTATATTATTAAGTATTTTGCATACTACTAAGCAGAAAAATCGTTCAAAATTTTATTGACTGTCATTAAAATATCGTCAGTTCTGATTTAAGGTGTATTTAATCCTTACTATAGCCTTTATGTTTAGTTGTAGGCAGTCAAAATGAAACAAATTACATGAAAATATATTTTTTTTTGTATTCATCTAAAAAATTGCTAGTTTTCGGGACTTTATCGAATCTAATCGCCAGATTCGATAGTTATTTCATGTCCGAATATTTACACTACATTATTGGTAAACAAAGAGATCAAAAGAAGTGATGAATTCAATTTTCAGTAAGCTAATTGGTAGTGCGATATTTAAAACACTTCGATTCTGCTTCTAAGTAGCACTGATTGATATGAGTGGTCCCATGTACTTTTATTATTATTATTTTATTCCTTTACGTTCTCAGTGGAACATATGGCTTCAAGCCAGAGTTTTGAAGTTTCGGTAGCAGTGGTGTTAATTTTTACAGGATGGGGTTGCTACTCTCATGCCCAACCCTCCCTCTTTACCAGTCTTTTTTACTGGCTTAGTGAGGTAAACGAGTGCTTCGGCAGGGGATAGAACCCCGAACCACATGCTCGGTTGCAGAGCATTCTACCGCTATGCCTTGTGACGCAATATTTTTATAGGCTGGTAGTATATTACCACCGTTATCACATTACATGTGGTTTATTTCTCTAGTTACTTAAAAACGTTCATAGATAATAAATTATTCTTAGTTCTAATTTTGATAACATGAGGGAGTGTGAAGGTAAATGATCATCAGGTTTCAGGTTTGTTGACTTGAAAGTTATTCTTCAGTAAACTACATTTGAGGTACTTACTACGCAAATGCATCAATGCGGATATCACAGAAGTCTGTTTTAATCGAGGGAGGACGTAAAGTCCCATAATATCACAGAGACGAACTGTAATACCACTTCAATGATCTATCACAGACAATAAGAAAGTGGATTTTGTGAAACTGAATAACATTTTGAAAATTATAAGCAGAACAGAAATTAAAAACACTGGTTGCTCAGTTTTTCCTCATTCACAAAAAGGGATCTAGGAGAATATTTGTAGCAGAATTTGAATGCGGTTATTTCATGGATTCTGTTTAACTGCTTTAAATGTTATGAGAATACAATTTATGTACTACAACCTGGTTTAATATACTTGACAAAGGAGTGCTGATTAAAAGTTGTTTAGATATAACTGCAGGCAACTTAAAGGAGTCCTTATTTTACCAAAATCGTCAACATAAAGCAAAAAGGTTTTGTTTATAATCAAGACAATTTAGAAGTACTTACTTCCCCCTTGTGACTCGTCAGTGTTTGAAATTTGAATCCCTTTGTGCTTTTCATTATTATAACTTTGTATGATTGTACTACTGCTTAGCTTGTATACTGTACATCCAACGTTATTTAAGTCAGCTGGTGTAAGGTGCGCACCAACAAGTGCACGTAATAGCTGACCGGGTAAATCTGTGGGATTCATCCTCAGACTAGGTAATTCATCTCTAGCATTATGACAGTGTACAATACTATCACATTGTAATTGTTTTGAAATACAGTAACCGTAATCATCATTTTGAATAAATGATCTGCGTGTCTTTTGTTTTATCGATTTAAATTTTAATAAACTTTGTTGCACTTTATACATTAAATGTTTCTCTGTTGTTGTTGTTGCCGTCATCGGATCGTTGAACTCTTGAACATGAGAAGACTTGATTTCGTTAATATCAGGCACTGAACGCTTTTCGTGTGTATAGGATATTTTGGATGATTCCACTGGCATCTGTCCACAGAAGAATTCGTCATTTTCACAAACGCCTGCTGGTTTTGCTTTGAAAAGATAATAACAAACAGCTACTAATAATTTTGTAAAGAAAAGATCACAGGTATAGTGAAAATTAGACTGCGGATATGGCTGTTTCTGCAAAAATAATATTTTTAAACCTTCTTGAAAGACCGTTGGCGAGTAAGGGGAGTTAACACCGTATTTGGTGCAATACCTGAGTATTTGAACTGTTAAAGTCTTTGAATCGATGCAGTAGACATTTGAAGGTGACTCCATCTACTCAGAAGTTAAGCTGAACAGCTATAAATACTAAAAAAAACTTATAACACAGATTCATATGCATTCGCATTCAAGACAACTGGTGTGGTGTTAAACAGGCATGTATGTTATACAATAGCTGACTCCAGAATTATATTTCCATGAAAGGTATCATATTCTATACAGTAAAGTTAGAATCAAAGTAATTGAAAGTTACATCAAGAAATTTCTCCCTGAACAGATTTTCTTATGTTGTAAACTACGACAACTGTTGTTATTTGTACGTACTGTTGTTGTATAAACTAAGCTTACAAATTATTGATGCCGTATCAATTTAAGTACAAACTGAAAAGATGAAGACGTTTAAACAAGGATCAAAAAGGTGACACAGATCTCGAGTAATCTAAAATGAGGGTGGAAAACTACGTTACTCAGCACGACGTAAAGATTTGAATTCGCAACAATAGTGTCAATTCAGTTCTGTCTTCGCTTTCTGGATACTAATATCAGAGAGCCAGAAAGCATGAACACCAGGGAACTTTTGGAACGAACCAACTAAGGACGTATTGGGTAACTGAAAAATATGCAGAAGCAGCCGCTGATAGATTTGACATACTTCTAGGAAACCGCTGAGTGGCATTGTTAGCCAGACTCTCGAGTAGAAGGCAAATGGGAGAAGATGAGTTAAGCGTGAGCCAAGAGTTGCATGATGGAGATCGTGTGAACAGGAAATGATAGCTTGCGGTCAATCGTTGAGCTAGTTAAAGACGATTACAGAGCACATAGTGAAATGCAGATGTGCTGTTAAATCCGATGTTCCACTAGGAACCTAATGAAGTAACAAAGACATTAGTAAGTGGAATGCAATATAGAGCTTGTTAAATTTCATCTTATTTTGACCAAATTTCATCGAGGTGTTAGGGACTACATTTATTAATGAGGCTAATAATTTTGGTATTGTTCTCGACACTGTTCAATAGTAATATTAAAGAAGAAGAATATGAATTGTTGAAATGCACTTTATACAGAACGTATTCGGTTCTAGGAATAATGTTAAATAAAAGCTTTAAATTGTCTATTTCAAAATAAATAAAAATTTATGGTGTTAGACATTTCATACGAAAAAGGGTACAGTGTCCATTGATTTATTTCAAAATTAAAAAGAAGCTACTGCTCGATAGCTGATATTATTTAGCAGTTACACTGAATTCTAGTCAAAATATGTGGTCATATGAGACTTGGAAAACAAGTCATTCTTAATACATGGTCTTTATTATCAAACACCATATTTATTTTATTCAACATATCTCTTTTAGATATACGCATGCTAATAACTTAGACAGCGCTATTTCTTCTTAGTTGAAATGCCTGCTGTGTATGAGGAATTGGATGTAAACTCCAGTGTTTTGTGCGTTACCGTAGAGAATTGGAGGAGAAATAACAGAACATAACAAAACCCAATGAACTGAGTTGTATTTCAGTTGGTGTTTGTTTCTGTGTCTGTTTGGCAGGTTAGATTTAATTTAAAAGGAAGTTGTTAACGGAAATGATTATGTTTATGTCAAGTGATAAGTCAAAGAACAGAATTCTCCGTGTTAATAAGACATTTTTTTAATGACTACAGTTGTTAGGATTTAGACGTTAGGGTTTACATATTTTGTAAAATAAAAGATGCTGTAGAATGAAGTCAATAAAAATGGTCAGTACTGATGAAAATTAACAGCCAATCAAGACGGAGGTTATCAGAAGATGCAATTACATCATTCATGGAGGATTCAGATTAGTTCACTTCATACTGACGGCTGTACTCAAGATGTTGTCTTAGAGAAAAGTGAATGCTTGATAATTAAATCACCCAACTCGGAGAATGCATTCATCAGATACAAACTGTAATATTTATATATATATATATATATATATATATATATATATAATATGCACAGATACATACTATACCTTATTATATACTGGTTTGTCAAGAAAGTATAAGTAGTTTCGAAAATGTCAGTTGTTATTTAAAAAATTTTCAAATTTATCCTCTTCAAAAATGTTAAGCGACAAAAATACATTGTGTATTTCGAAACGAAGTAGTATTGCCAGCCGTGCTCACTAACTTCTCACGTATTGCATTTTTATTTGGATAGTGATTTTATGTCATTATATTTCATTAAAAAAAATTTCATATTATGCTTTAGTGCTTTCGAGTTATTCCACCGATATGAACAGCCGAAACCAGGATATCTGTAGTCATATAGACGCATCCAGTAGTTACAACACTGTTGCAATTTCTATTCTTCTTAATCGGATATTTGTGTTTTATTGTTCAACTCGTAAAAACATAACTAACCCTTACAAACCAAACTATAGAAATCAATCTGATGCTCGCTAGTGACTTTCTATAGGATGGAGTTTCCTGGAGTTCTAGTGAGAAATCATGACCAGTCAGGTCCAGTTAGGTGTCACGTGTGTGGATGGATGACCCACCAACGACAATGGTTGGGTCGCGCTAAATCACTAATTGGTAGAAGTTAGAATCAAGTAGCCACTGAATCGGGTCCTAGTGGCTGAATGGTATACGAGCTTGCCTTGTAACCGGAAGGTCCTGGGTTCGAATCCCAGTGGTGCGTACTGCCGATGATTCCCAAACTAGGATGAAAGAGCAGCTGTCCAGTACTCCCTGGTTTCCAATGTTTCTCTAACTGCTATCAATCTGTGATCAACTCGTAAAAACATAACTAACCCTTACAAACCAAACTATAGAAATGTTTGTTCAAGTTAAAAGTAATCATTTGGTGAATTCAAACTGTTGTACTTCAACCGGCTTTCAGGCGTAAACTTCGACAACGAGTGTTATTAATGGTTGAAATAGTAGTGTTAGATTAATATATTTAGTTTTTGACTGACAATATAACACATATGTTATAAATCTCTAATTTGTTTGACTTACTCATTAATTAGATGTTTGATAGATACACTGAAACAGTAATATTTATCTTCCGAATTGTAAATATTTTTAAAACGACTGAATGTCGTCTAGATTCAGTAAGCTTACAAATAATAAACATCTCTTATTAGAGAAACACTATCTCACTAGATAACAGTGCTGTTAAAGTTCCATTGGTACACAAACATTTCCTAACACATGTATTCGAATAGGTCCCCATGACACCGAATGAAAAACTTTACAGAACTTATTGACTTCAGATAATTCGTTTTGCCGATGAGAACCAACTTCATGACTGTAATAACTAAAGAAAGTTATAACTAAAGCCATTCTGTTATCTAGCGGTAACGGTTAGTTAAAGTTCGCATATATCAGTATATGACTAAAGTAAATTTAAAGCATTAGCGAACACCAGTACATTAAGTTTCAATTTTATGTAGCTATTTCATAATTGTAAGATATATGGATCTATATATAAATAATTATAAATTAACGTTTCAGTACCGCACCTACTATGGAGATGAATTTCACCTGAACTATTATTATTCTCTTGAAAATGTAACAATATTGATACATGTGAATATTTCTCTGTTATGCTGGGAGGTCAGGTATTTGGAGAGCAATAAATTATCAACCAGTTGACCATAACCTATGACTGCATGGTTAATCAATAATAATGATGGAGGTAATAATCATAACAGGGTGGAACTGGACCATTTTTATGCAGTTGTAAAACAAAATGAGCATATCTGTTCAACTTCCTCTCTGTAAGCCAATAACCTGTTTTAAAAACATGCTTTGGATCTCTGAACTATTATGATAATATTTCCTCGATAAGTCAATGCCTTCAAAAGTTAATGCAAACAGAATAAATTAGTTTATTCTATTTTATCACCCTTTTAGTTAATGTGAATGTCATTTTAAGTCAAGGTTGGATCCCTTACATTTTATAAGAAAACACAGAGATTAATGCCTATATCAGTTGGCCATTCATTGCCTGACGTTGGATTGGAATCAGTCTTTTATATGAAAGCTGATTTTAACTTATTCCGTATTCATAAAAAATATGGTAAATTAGTGAGAAAAAAGGATACCACCATATAGTTAATATGCTACTTCATCTGAGCAAGTTAATTAAGTGAGACTCGAGAGTTTTGTTTAAGTAATTGATCTGTTTGAAAAATTCTGAAAATCTGTGCATACTGAAACCATGAAGAATATATTTGTTAAAAACTAGCTAAGCAGACAGTAAGTTAAAGTATTTCTAAAAGAGAAGGAATATTCTGAATTAATCATATTTGTTCAGGACAACTATCACTTGAAGTAATTGCAAACTAAGCCTAGTTACAAAATGTTACAATTTGGTTTTGTATCCTTGCTGTCTAATGTATTCTGCTAGTTACCTTAAAGAATTGAAAACATCTTCATTGGCTTATCATAACAAAGATGAGTATGCATTCAAAAGGCAAAATAGGATTTTGTGGACAGAACATGAAGTTGTGACTTCAGTAATTAGACGAGAATATCAAAAATCTAGTACTTTTCTTTCACGTTCCCAGTGGAACATAGGGCTTCAAGTTAAAGGCTTGAAGTTTCTGTAGCAGTGTTTATTTTAACAGGATGGCGTTGCTAGCTTCATGCCCAATCTTTCCTCTTTACCAGGTTTTTATTACTGACTTAGCGAGGTAAAGGAGTGAATCGGTCGGGGATCGAACCCCGGACCGTGCGCATGGTCGGCGAGCGTCCTAACCTCTGTGCCACTGATGCAAAGGCGTTCTTCGGCTAACTTTTTTATGAAGGGCTTATTGAACAGGTAATAGAGCAACGATAAAGCTCAGTAAAAGTGATATCCGAGCAACTGTGAAATATGGATATTATACTGGGTATCATAATCATTTTCAGATAAGTTTAGCACTGTCAGTGCTAGAAAGGAGAGCTGAGAAACATTATGCCGAAACTATGTTTTAAAAAAAACTCAGGCGGAGAGATGTCTGGAGATTATGAAAAATATGAGAAAAGTTATCAGTAATCTATGGCAGATAACAACTTTATAATGATAATAGCTTTATTCCAAAATAGTACTTGTGATACAGAATGGAATTCTCAGCATTTTACTACAGTAATGCATCCAGTTAGTAAATTAACAATAAAATAAAATTCTACATAGATTGAGTAATCTCAGTTAGTTTTGACACCAGCATATTGGGCGAAATTAAACAGAGTTTTTGAAGGTGCTAGAAAAGTAGGTTCTAGCATATTTACTGGCGTAAGTAGAAGGAAGAAACAAAGCTGCACATAACAGAAAATAAGAGAGAGAGGAAAGAAAAAGAAAGAAAGAAAAACGTTGTACCTAATAAATGATATGAGTTGGAAAGACGAGATCCAGTTGTTCTACTGACTATTTAATAAGTTAAAGGTTTCACGCCTAATGTTTTCTTTATCGCACAGAACACAAGGTAAGTAGGGTATGGTTGAGTTTTTGTACTTCCTAGTGCGAGCATATAGTTTTCTATACAGGCTTCTGGTTTTGCCTGAAGTGACAGTCCTAATAAATTAAATGACAATAGTTGAGATTTCTTTAACATGTTTTGCTTGGATCTGGTGGTTTTTTTCTACTTACAACCTTCACTCTTTGATGAACTAATTCAGCCACAGTTCAGTGGGAAAAATGAGGTAGAGTAATAGGTTTGGAATTAGCTTCAGCTCTTTTGAACTTTACATTCTTATTTTGCTTATTATTATTTAGCTCATTTATTTTCTGTTGATTAACTTAATAAATAGCAAGTGTTGTTTATTTAAGGTGCTGCAAACTCACTTTATTAAACTGTGAAGCTCTCACTAGTGATAAATTCACTTTGATTAGTGAGTGAAGCATCACTTCAACTACAGGTGGAACGGATGTAGATGCCATCGCCAGAATCGGAAAGGCAGTATACGCCTTTATCAACCTGAAATCACTTTGATAATCTTCTGCACTCAGCGCAAAGAACGAAATTCTGATTTTTAATACCGATGTCAGGTCATTCCTTCTACGGGGTCAGAAGCATCGCGCGTTACGAAAAGCATCTCTAACAGACTGTAGACATTATCAAAAGCCACCTTCGCTCCATACTGAAGAATAAATGACCAGAAAGAACTAATTAGCAACAAGAAACTCAGGGTGTCAACCAAAACAAGAACCTATCGCTGAACAAATATGTATAAGAAAGTGGAGATGGGTTGTGGCAGTAGTGGAGAGACCATCAAATTACATCGCTCTCCAGGCCCTAAAGTGGAACCCGGATGGAAAATGACAAGTAGGGCATCCGAGGATGACATGGAAGGGATTTTTGAGGAGGAGATGAAGGCTTGTGAGCTATCGTGGGGTTAGCTATAGACGATTACAGAAAATAGAACAAATTCGAGATGTGTTGTTGAAGCTCTATGATGCACTCGGAACCAAAGAGAACAATAATAACAATAATAATTAATGAACAGCTCTTAGACAGATTTCAAAAATTTTGACTTAATTACATTGTCTAAACTGTCGTTTTATGTACGTTCCTAGAGGTAACAGGAAAGGCTGTTTTCTTTATTGAAGGTTAACTGATCTTAAAATATATGGAATGTTGGATTACATTTGATTAGTAGCGCTTAACTGTGTGCTGGTGTGTTTCACTTTCCCTTATGAAACTGAACAAGATTCAAGTTCTTTTTGTCTTTAAATACTTTATTCATTTGGTTTCAGTTTGTTCAGAAAACTGTCCTCCAAATAACTACATGGGAAAACATAAAACGTTTTGGTGTTTCATTTATTACTCAACCACTTAAACATTCCGTTTGACTGATAAAACGATGTGTGAAACTAATTTTAACGGCTAAATGGAACCTATGTGTATACATATTTGTAGTTCCAGATAAAAGATGGCTATACAATTAATTGTCTCAATGAAATACTATTAAAAATTACTCTAAGTTTTGTTCATACTGGAAAACGTAGAGTAAAAACTTGACTTCATAAAAATATTTCATAATACTTAGATTAAGTGAAAGATGTGAATAAGTTTGTTAAGAGCATTTTACAAGTATTTTATTCAGGAATAGTTTTTACTGTATTCTTGTCTTATTCATTCAGCATAAGAATAACCAATAGTATAACGTGTTTGCCTTGATGAAATGAAATAAATATTGACAGTTTTCTATTTAACTGAAGACCAACTGGTGCATAATTAAACAAATGAGCACTTGAAGCCCTGTCGTAAAAATGGAAGAATTACACCAGTGATACAAAAATAACTCTAGAGATCAGTTATTCCGATACTAGAGTTGTATAATAGTTAATAAAAGTTTTACCAACACAGTTTATGTTGTTCCACTGACTTTCACTAATGTCTTGTACCAACTGTAAATATTCATTTGTTGTCTCTTCTCTCATACTCATGTTGGTGCATATATATATATATATAACATGTATATATATATATGTCATTCTGGTCGTATAAACTATCTATGAAGATCTTAAAGGAGTAAAGCAGGGCTAGAGCTTGCGAGTTGTCTGAAAGTTCACAGCTTAAACCAGTTTACTACAGTTCCAGAACGTGTATGCTAATCCATAAACAGAAATGCGTGCATTGACGACAGACTAGAAGGCTTTGACACCTGCGACTGCAGCTAGGACATCGTTCTTACTGAGAAAATCTGCCGTTAATTTACTAATTTTGCATAAATATAAAATAACTCTTATGGCTTTTATTAAGTTTTGCAACCTCAGTTTCTTAATGTCATTATTCTTCTCTAAATTACGGTTTCAGCCTAAATAGAACTGCTGATGCTGAAAGACAATTTACGACCTACAGAGTGAGTGTTTACCAGTATATTAAGTTCCTTTTTTTAATATTTTTATTGGAAATTTATCTAAAGATAGACAAAGGCTAGTAATAAGCCACACTTTAAATGACGTATAAACACTTGAAGTTTTCGCAGATTCAAGTGTAGACAGCGAACTGTTGAGACGCTACCAGCTGAAAAAGGAATTTAAAATTAAAAAGAAGTACAGTAAAGCTAATTTAAAAAAATTATTATTAAGTGGTCTTTTCTCACTACTGAATAGCATCAAATTAATACTTTCTGAATAATGATAAAGTAGTACAAAGTTTAAAATGAATGAATTCTGCAGATTTTTGCCCAGTTTTTTAGTTGGTATGAAAAAGAAACACAATTTAAAAGTGAATTCCGTTGACGAGTTAACTTAGTTGAACAGATTGTACAGGGAGGCTGTGGATAACCAGTGGATGTCAATAAACTGGTTCAGTGAGTGAAGTTGGAAAACACTATGCCTGGTCGCTTAGACTGGTGGTCTGATACTACGTTAACTGAATTATAATGAAAAATGGAATTTTTAAAATTATACGTTCCCACGGAAGCTTGGTGATACAGTCAAAATCATAATGTGCTAAGCTTATTGTTATCATAAGACACTTCACCACACAGGTTCTGTAATTCGTTAGATCTCTTTTGTCAATTTCGCTGAGAAACTAGTTTTCTACCAACCACAGTCATTGCCTACAAAGTATTACAAACAGTCAGGAGTCAGTCTATTTAGCTAACATTAGAAATCCAAGTAATTCACGACTGATTTACATCTAAATAAACATCAAAAATTAAAAAAGAAACCCAAGGCGACAGGATAACTTTTTAACAGAACACACAGCATATCGTCAGCCGGTTGTTAACAAAAATATGCTTGGAGAATTTTACTAGCAAACGTTTTGTGGTTTTTTGTTACCGAGTTGAAGTGAGTTAATCAAGTCATGTTGGCAACAGGAATATATTTCGAAACTCTGCAGCTGCCCCACAGATATATACAAATTTACACGTATCTTAGGTCACGAATGATAGGATATTGGGTTATTCAAGGAGATAATGCTTCATATCATGTTTCAAAACTATTTCGTCATCAATATGAAGCTACAAATATCCCTCTCTGAAATAACCTTTTTACAGTGAATATCCAGTTAGACAGTCCTCTTAAGTCTGTAGAGATAAGTTTCTACCAACGATGCAAATGTGATCAACTACTCACTTTACAGTTAGTTACCACGACCAGAACCACAAAGTGGTCCTAAACATATCTATTCTAAATTCAGTGCTAATTAATGTTCATCAATCGGTCAATGGCTATTTGAGTGAACACTTCACACCACCAATCACATCCATCCGTCCATCCATCCATCCATCCATCCATCTATCCATCCATCCATCACCAAACTGTCCATTTCCAGAGTAGACATCTGGACAAACTCGAACGCGTGCAGTAGGTAAGAAAAATTCCTTGTACAACAGACCATCATCATCATCGTTAAGCTCACATCTTGAAATAATAACAAACAGAATATGAGATCAGATACTAACTGACAGACTGACTAGACGAGTTGTGTTGGTTGGCTGGTTGGTTCGAGATAGGAATGAAAACAAGAGAAAAGTAAACGAAGATTGAGTGAGGAATTGAATCGGGATTAACATATGTGAAGCACCTGGTGTTTTTGTTTTGCTGTGTTACAGGTGCACTGAACATATGGTGGCTGATGGAATATGCTGCCTTCAGTGATAATGAATTTCATATTATCTTATAGACTGTTAGGGAGAGAATATATTGTTTTTGAGTAACACTATGTAGTAATACTATGTAGTCAGCTACCTAGAATATTCTGTAAACTTCAGCCCGGTTATCTTGGAAACAGCCCCCATTAAAAACCTTTCGAATAAATTGTTTTACAGACAACTTCACTCTTCTCCCATTATAATCTCATTCTCTTATTTTCAGTTTACTTGGCGTTAATTTTAATTTTTTTTTAATTTTCATGTAATTAATCCGCATGCAGTTGATGAATATTCAGGGAAATACACCATGGAACTACTGCATAAACAAGGGTATTGCCCCTTTCACACTTCAAAAATACTTTTAATCTTGTATTTGCTAAAATGCAAGAAAATTTCCTCTACATTAAACTTTTCACTGGTCCACTTCCCAAACGAATTCATTGTAGTATTTCATACCAACGTAATTTGTTGTTCAAAACCAGATTATTAACAGTATGAATAATTCATAATTACAAGGTAGATCACGGAGAGATATCAGTTAGAGAACCACTGAAAACTAGAGAGTACTAGACACCCGTTTGTTCCTAGTTTTGAACTTTTCAGCAGTACGCATACACCGGGGCTCGAATCAGTCATAGGGCGAGCTCGTAGACCACATGTCACCAGGGCCCGACCCGATGGCCTATGAATTCTAAATTTTGCCAGTTGGTGATATATAGCGCAGCCATTAGCCAACGTCATTGACGAGTAACTTTTCTCTTGCCCGACTTATTGGACCCAATTGATTACTTCTCACTAGAACTCCGAGTAACTTCCTGCATAGAGCTAGTCATCATGTACCCGTAAGTTCATGTATTCAAACCATGGCGGATGAGCACCGATGAACAGATCCATAATAGGAAGAAACAGTTATCTAGCAATCCCTGATTTTCTCTGACAGACGTCATCTCGTGATCAAACCTATAGCCGATCGAATCTCTGCAAACAAACTCTTGAAAATTATATCAGCTGCTAGATAAAAATACTGATTGGCATATCAAAAGAATCAAAGATACCCACCTTACAATTGGAGACAAAATAAGAAATTCAGAAAATATCTTTCCTGCAAATTCGTTCTCAGTAGCTGTTCATACACATAGAATACTTAAAGTTGTCACTTAATTCGCCTCAGTATCCAAGGCGAGATTTAAAGCAGATAATAATTTTCGACTTGATGTAAAAGTTCGCTGGTGTGATGAGAGGTAAATATTATTCACAAAAGGCATAGAAACCAAAATAATACAGGACTAGGAATACAGTTCCGTAAGATGTAAAGTAGATTTCACCAAGTGTGAGTAGGATGGGCATAGATTATTATTGTATCCTTTAGTTCCTAGAGGAACATAGGGCTTCAGCTGCGCACCTCCATTGCCTTCTGTTTTCTGACATTTTCACCCCGCTCCAGGTCTGTTCACATGCTTTCATCTCCTCCTCACATGACCTCCTCCAAGTCACTCTTGCACTGACGACCAACTCGCCGCCTCCCTTTCGGGTTCCACTCGAGCAATGGCTTGTCTAGTGATGTCACTTGATGGTTTCCTCAGCGTATGGCCAATCCATCTCCATTTCTTTCTGCCTATTTGTTTCACAATCGGCTCCTGATTGGTTCGCTCCCAGAGATCCCTGTTGCTGATCTTTTTTGGCCATCTGATCTTGAGTATTGAGCGGAGACAGCTGTTAATGAAGGTTTGAAGTTTGTTTGAGATGCTCTTTATGACGCACTGGCCAAGTCTCTGATCCGTATAGTAAGTAGCACTGACTTCACATTGGATTTGAAAATCCGGATCTTATTTTTGATACTGAGTGCTGTTGACCTCCACACAGATTTGAGAGTAATGAAAGCTTGTCTTGCTTTTCCGATTCTGGCTTTGATATCCTCATTAGTTCCGCCTGTAGTTGAGACGATGCTTCCCAGGTAGGTGAAGGAGGCTGTTTCTTTCAGGTCCCTCCCATTTATGCTGATTGCCGTCTGTTGTTGTTGTTGCTGTTGCAGTCGGCTAGGAATCTTCATCACCTCTGTTTTATCTATGTTCACTTGAAGTCCTATCTTTGATGCTTCTTCTGCCAACTTGTTGCTTTTCACTTGCATATCTTCCAGTTTATGGGAAATCAGACATATATCATCGGCGAAATCCAGATCCTTCAAGTCTTTTGTTTGAGTCCATTTTATGCCTGTTCCCTCGTTGGTTGCCGTTGTCTGTCGCACTATCCAATCGATTGCAATCAGGATGATCATTGGTGATAGTAGACAGCCTTGCCTCACTCCCGTCCTCACTTCGAAGGCTTCCGTAAGTTTCCCGTTGTGGATTACTTGGCATGCAGCATTGTCGTATAACTGTTGGATGAAATGTATAATTGTCGATGGGACCCCGTAGTAGCGAAGTAGTTTCCAAATGACCTCTCGATCGACGCTGTCGAAGGCCTTTTCAAAGTCGATGAAGTTGAGGTAGAGAGGCGACTGCCATTCCAAGCTTTGTTCAATGATGATCCGTAGAGTGGCGATTTGATCAATACATGATTTGTTTCTCCTGAATCCGGCCTGTTCCGGTCGAAGTTTTTCATCTAGGGCTTGTTTGATTCTCTCCAGGATGATGCGACTTAGTATCTTGCTTGGAATGGACAGAAGCATAATTCCACGCCAGTTTTTACATTGACTTAAATCTCCTTTCTGTGGTAGTTTGAGTAAGTATCCGTTCTTCCAATCCTCGGGTACTTTGCCCTCTTTCCACACCTTCTCCAGCAGTGGTGTCATTAAGTCCGCTGTTGTCTCTGGGTCTATTTTCAAAGCTTCTGCTGGGATTCCATCTGGTCCCGGTGTTTTCCCAGCTTTTAGCATCTTGATGGCATTCAGGACTTCTGATTTCGTCAGGGGGTCAATGTTCACTGGTAGTTCTGCTTCCGTTGTTGGTATTGTTGGGCGCGTTGTAGGTGGCGGACGATTTAGAAGTCTTTTGAAGTGTTCAGCCCAGTGTTTTCTCTGTTCCACCTCTTTGGTGATTGACTTTCCATTGTCGTCCTTTATTGGCTTAATCTGTGTCGAACTTTTGCCCGAAAGGTGCCTAGTTGTTTGGTAGAGTGTGGCGAGGTCTCCTTTGCCTGCAGCTTGTTCTGCTTCGTTTGCCATGGTTTCATAATATTTTCTTTTGTCTTCCCTGGCGCTCTTCTTCACTCTTTTGTTCAGTGTATTGTAGCTTGCATTCAGCTCCTGTCTTTGTTGCTCGTCAGTGCACTGGATAATCTTTTGTTTCACTGTCCTTCTCTCTTCTATTAGTTTCCAAGTGTCCGTAGTGAGCCACTGTTTGTCCTGTCTCTTCTTTCTGCCTAGAATTTCTATGCAGGTTTGACTCCACACCGTTTTCAAGTTGTTCCAGTGCTTTTCGACGCTCACCTTTTCGCTGGTGTTGATTTGTATTTCAGCTTTGTCCTTTATGCTTGCAATGAAGATGTCCTTTGTAGCCTGGTCCTTCAGCTTTTGAGTGTTGAACTTGGCTTGTGGTCTATCTGCAGCTCCTGATTCCCTGAAAGCTATTAATTTGATTTGGATTGTCCCTTGTACGAGATAGTGGTCTGAGCCAACGTCTGCTCCTCTTCTTGCTTTTGTGTCCAGTAGGCTGTGCCTCCACTTCCTTGAGCAGCACTGAGATGAAGTCGATTCGGTTTTTGGTTTGCCCATCTGGTGACACCCATGTAGCCTTGTGGATATCTTTGTTCTTGTATACACTGCCACCAATCACTAGTTCGTTGAAGGCGCAGAAGTCGGCGAAGAGTTCTCCATTTTCATTCATTTCTCCGAGAGCTTCTCTACCTATGATGAGTTCCCTTCCTGAGTTGTCTGGTCCCAGTTTGGCGTTCATGTCTCCCATTAGTATTTTCATGTCGCCAGCTGCAGTATTGTGAGTAGGATGGGCATAGAAACAGGTTGAAATAATACTTTATTAGTAAAGAAGAAAAAATATTTGAACAGCGTGAACAAAATAAAACTGAGGAAAAAATAACCAAACAAGGCTAGATCTATGGTAATATGCAGAGAGTGAACTGACTTTTTACGACCCAGCACCGGATAATTGAAACATATGATGAAGGCTTCTGCAGTACAGAGAAGGTGAAAGCTCTATGTCTTTGGAAGATTTGTGTTTAAATTCCAGGGG